TCTGCATCGCCGGCGGATTACGTCGATTTCGCAGCCGTCGAATTTGCGGGCGATAAGTGGTCACGTGGAGGCGCTAGCGATTTCGCGGGCGTTGCGCGCATTGCGCGCACCATCGATAACTAAGCAAATGCCGGGGGGCCCACTAGGTGCGCGGGTCCGCGCGGATTACGTAACTCCAAATGCATGTAACGTAATCTATCACCTTCTGGGACACACCACCTTGTGGGACACTTTTCTGCCCCACACCCCACCACGTCGACTTCGGACGCACCTCACAACACAAAAGAGAGTCTATTCGGAATGCATTCTACATAATTCGAGCCCTTATTTACAAGGGCATTTTCTGGCGTTGTGCTCGATTGAGCCACAAACACTGCACTTCGGCTGCGCACGCTTTCGTGCCTTTGGCGCAGTCGTGTCCGATGGCCCCACCTCTCCTTCTTCGACCTCTCGACGAGCTTCCTGGCTTCCTTGACCCTTCTGACGAGCATTCTGGGAGGCCTCGATGTGTGTCATCCCTTCTCCAATCGTCATAGTCCCTCCTGTTTGAATGAAAGCTCGGCGTGTCCGCTTTCTCTTTTGTCGACCATTTTCAGCTCGAAGTCGCGAGTTCTCTTCCTGCAAAAGAGTAGCATTGTGCATCGCCATCTGGCAGCCCTTGATGATTTTCTGAAGCGCCTGATCTGTTGGGCTTATCTCTCTCTGGTGTTTCCTTTGGAGAGAGTCAAGTTCGACGATGTTTCCTGGCGTTTTGAGAGGCAGACTTGGCGGTTGGATAGGGGTAGGAGGGGGACTCAGTGTCCGTATCCTGGTTTGTAGCCGACAAAGAACCTGAGTTGGATCGAAAGGCAAGAGCCCTGCAGCTCTAAAGCCGCTTGCGATGTTCTTTGTATTGAATGTCTTTTTCCGAGCTTCGAGGAACAGTTCGAGGAATCGCGGTTTGTCAATGTGATGAACCCCGAGTGCTATCTTCGCTTTGACAAGGTCGCCGTACGTCCGCTTAAGCACAGCGAAACAGCTAACGTCAAGGGGCTGGAGGTAGTGCGACGAGTGCGGAGGCATACACTCTGTAAGGATCCGATGCTCAGTACAGAATTTGTCGAATGCAGGCGTCGAATGGCTTCCATGACCATCGAGAATGAGAAGCCGATATCGACCAACAGTCCGTTTTCGAGTTTGTGGCTCGAAGACTTCTCGAAGCCACTCGAAGGTAAGCTCATCGGTTGTCCAGCCGTTATCGCTGACTCCAATCCGCCATGTCTTTGGCAGCACTGAGCCGTCGTACCACGACGAAATGTGGACTTTTCCTTCAAAGATAATCATCGGGTCAACACTCCAGCCGGATGCGTTAATGCACTCGATGACAGTTGTCCACTCTCGATTTCCCGGCTGGATAACAACAGGTCGATTCCGTCGGTCAGATCGAGTGACCACTTTAGACGTGCTTGCAACACCCATCTGGAAACCAGTCTCGTCAAAGTTGTAGATGTCGCTGTCAAGAACACCGTATTCGTTGATGGTCCTTTGCACTCGTGCAAACCACGCTGAAATCTTCTCTGGATCCTCGCATAAGGCCCGTTGATAGTCGTACTTTCTAGAATACTTCGTCTCCCGATGGGGATGCCGATGAAGAAGCCGCTGGACCCAGTTCTCACCGACAGTCATTGCCGGGACCGGGGTGGATGTAAGAGACGCGTCGAGTAGAGTGAAGCCTCCACGCTCGCGGAGAAGAAGGTCAGCCATCTGTCGGATATAACCGATCGTCGGCGACATCCCACGGTCGTCCAATGACTCGATCCATTGAATCAAGGCTGCTTCTTCAGTTGGGCGTAGCTTTCGGTTCTTGACTTGAGCTTCTTGACGCGTACCGCCCCCCTTGACGCGTCTGTGGAGAGTGGACTTCGGTACACCAAACGCATCCGCAGCCTTGCGAATGATTTTGATTTGGCCTGAACGTAAGGCCTCGAGTGCTAATTGGATTCTATCTTCGTGCTGTAGAGGCTTTGGCATTTTGCCGGGCACAATGGCGTAGTGGAGTGCGTCCGAAGTCGACGTGGTGGGGTGTGGGGCAGAAAGCTGTCCCACAAGGTGGTGTGTCCCAGAAGGTGATGGATTACGTTAGTTAACTAACTAGTTAACTAACTAATTGCTAAATATGCATCTAACTAGTTAACAGAACAGTGCCCCGCACCTCCATCAACGCCAACACCACTTCCACCTCCACCTCTACCTCCACCACCGATACCGCCGCCGCCGCGATGGCCACCTCTTTTGCAGACGACTGCCTCCCTCCTGAGAATATTTACGACTCTCGAAACGCCTTGTTTGAAGCAATCAATGCATGGGCTATAACGAGAGGTTACGCCTTCACGACTGGAAAGTCGACCACCGAGAAGAGCGGGAGAATGACAGTTACATACGCCTGCGACCGAGGCCGCCGGCCCCCCGAGGCATCAAGCAGTCGCCAGAGAAGAACTAGTAGTCGAGTGACCAGCTGCCCCTTCTCGGTTCTAGCTAAAGAGTCGTCCGATGGTAGTTGGGTTCTTAAACACCGCCCCGATTCTCGATTCTCGGTACATAACCATGAACCAAGCCAACACCCAGTCGCGCATCCAGTTCATCGACAACTCTCTGGAGGCACTTCACAACTTGCAGACTTCTCGAACGCTGGTCTCGCACCGAAAGAGATTCAGACCCTTGTACGACAAAGTGGCTCGCTAGCTACCCGGCAAGATATCTACAACCGGATCGCGGATGTACGTCGAGATGCTTGTGAAGGCCAGAGCCCGATTCATGCGCTAGCCAACCAACTCGAGAAGGAGGGCTTTTGGAGTCGAATCCAGTTTACACCAGATGGCCGTGTCACAGCAGTTCTCTTCGCGCATCCCGACTCCCTTGCTTACCTTCAAGCTTACCCTGAGCTACTACTTCTTGACTGTACATACAAGACGAATAAGTACGGCATGCCTCTCCTTGATATGATTGGCGTTGATGCAGCACAACGGTCTTTCTGTATTGCATTTGCATTCCTGAGCGGCGAGACAGAGGAAGACTACACTTGGGCTCTCGAGCAGTTAAAGTCACTGTACGAGCAATGCAATACTACTCTCCCATCTGTAATTCTTACGGACCGCTGCCTTGCAGCCATGAATGCAGCTTCGGCGCTCTTCCCTTCAGCTGCAACGCTCATCTGCATCTGGCATGCGAACAAGGCAGTCCTTGCCCGATGCCAACCAGCATTCCCGGAGGCTGAGAAGTGGAAAGAATTCTACGACTCTTGGCATTCAATCATTAGTTCGCCAACAGAAGAGGAGTATGCCAACCGGCTTGCACAATTTCAACAGAAATACGCTGTTGAACACCCCAACGAGGTCGGGTATATCAAGACCACGTGGCTTATCCCATTCAAGGAGAAGCTTGTACGCGCTTGGGTCGACCAGTCGACTCATTTTGGCAATACAGCTACCTCACGAGTAGAAGGGATCCACGCCCTCCTCAAGTCATACTTGAGGAGATCGACATTCAACCTCTTCGAGGCTTAGAAGGCAATCCGACTTGCTCTCCAGAACCAGCTCGCCGAGTTACAAGCATGCCAGGCAAGGCAACAGACTCGGACTCCGCTTGAGCTTTCTGGGGCATTGTATGGAGTCGTACGAGGATGGGTGTCACACGAGGCGTTAAGGAAGGTCGAGGAGCAACGGAAGCTACTTGCAGAGACAGACCGTCCACGATCCCTAACTTGCACAGGTACTTTTACTCGTGTGTCTACGGGCTCCCATGCTCGCATGCACTTGATGCTCTCCAAGGCGAGCCTCTTCTTCTCAACCACTTCCACTCACATTGGCATTTAAAGCGCAAGGGAACCCCACAGCTACTCCTTGAGCCTCGCCAGCGCATTGAGCCAATTCGGGCTCAAAGCTCACTCCCCAAATCAAGTACAAAGCGGGAGCCGAGTCAGTTTGAGGCAGTTGAGGCCCAGCTCCAGGCACTTGAGCCCCGTCGGGCTCCAAGCAAGTGTACGAAGTGCCATGCAGTTGGCCATATAAGGACCTCGAGGGCATGCCCTCTGCGGTATTCAGATGTATTGTAATTATTCTGGCGATGGCGTTGATGGAGGCGCGGGGCACTGTTCTGTTAGATGCATATTTAGCAATTAGTTAGTTAACTAACTAGTTACATGCATTTGGAATTACGTAATCCGCGCGGACCCGCGCACCTAGTGGGAGCCAAATGCCGGTGGGTGAATTACTCATCAGGGTCGCTCACTGTCACTGGTTGACTGGTGGGCGACCAGGCGACATCGGTGGAGCGCCGGTCCCGATGCCGCGGCCATGCACCCCGCCCCCGCCCACTCCGGAAATTCCGCCCTCATGGAGAATCCATACGACACAGCAGGATTGTATCATATAATTCTAGCCGGATATAAAAGGGATTTCCCAGCCTTCACTCACTTATCCCACACAAACCCCACCTAACCAACCCCAACTCACCTCCAAACTCCAGTCAATAACTAACCTCTCTATCAACCCTCCAACACCACCTCCCCCTTTTCCAACTTTCACTCCAAATCCCATAACCACTTCATACCCCATACCAACACCCCCTCTCACCAAATACCAAACCGCCACATAACCAGCAACCAGCAACCGCCAACCTCCAACCACCAACCAACTCCCAAACCACCCACCCACCAACCCACCATGCCCACCCCCTCCTTCCCCACCCTTCCCCCCACCCCGACCTCCCACCTCACCCTCAAACACGGCCCCGAAACAGCCCAACTACTTCTCCGGCAGCCCGCTCAACCGGGCTCTCCATTCCTGCGATCCGACAGCGCCTTTCCTGCTCGCCGCCTTCGCCCACGCCGAACGCCCGCTATCCTGCTGCTCAACCAGCTCGCGCCCACTGACACGCCAAGGGCGATGGAGAAGTACGGCTGGGGGTATCGTGCGGGGTGAGGATGTGGTGGGGTTGACGGGGACGGGGGAGGAGCTGTTTGGGAAGGAGGAGAAGGAGATGGTGGAGGGGTTTGATTCTGCGGTGGAGAGGGTGGTGGTGGTGTTTTTGGGGGTGGATGATAGGGGGGTTTTGTTGGGGGGTGATGGGGTGGTGGAGGGGGAGGGGAATGCGCAGGGGGTGGAGGGGTTGCAGAGAGAGGGGTTTGTGTATAAGGATACTAGGGGGGCGCCGTATTTTGCGGTGGATGTTACCCCGAGGGGGGAGAAGGCCGGTGTGGCGGAGGAGTTGATCAAGAGGGTGACGGAGAGGGGGTTTACGTTCAAGGAGGCGACGCCGCGGCATATGGGGTTGCAGGCGGGGCACGGTCGGTTTACCTTTTTTCTTTCCTACTACACCCTCCTTGCTCTTCCTCTCTCTCTCCTCTCAATAACTCAGTGATGTGATGTTACTGACACTTCACCCCACCCAGCCGCCATGTACGGCCAAGCACGCGCCCTGGTGGACTGGAACGCGCGCACGCCCTTCTGCGCGCAGTGCGGACAGCCGACGCTGTCGGTGCACGCGGGTACGAAGCGGGTGTGCCCGCCGACGGACCGAGCCGGGGTTCCCGAGGGCGAGCCGGCGCGGGAGCGGCGGCCGTGCGCGACGCGCGGCACCGTGTCCAACCACAGCTTCCCGCGCACCGACCCGACCGTCATCATGGCCATCGTCAGCGCCGACGGCACCAAGGTCTTGCTCGGCCGCCAGCGCCGCTGGCCCCAGTACTGGTTCAGCACCCTCGCCGGCTTCCAGGAGCCCGGCGAGTCCATCGAGGAGGCCGTGCGCCGCGAGGTGTGGGAGGAGAGCGGCGTGACCGTCGGCCGCGTCATCCTGCACAGCTCGCAGCCGTGGCCGTTCCCCGCGAGCCTGATGATCGGCGCCATCGGCCAGGCGATGCCGGGGGATGGGGAGAAGATATTCCTGGGCCACGACGCCGAGCTGGAGAGCGCCAAGTGGTTCCCGCTGGAGGAGGTGAAGGAGGCGTTGGTGTTGGGGACGAGCAACCTGGGCGAGGGCGCACCCGAGGGGTATGTCGAGGGGGCGCTGAGGCTGCCACCGCAGACGGCCATTGCGAATCGCTTGATAACCGCCGTGGTTGAGCAGTGGTGGGTTCAGCCAAAGATGTAGGAAGCATAGAGGGGTGGTTGTTATAGAACGGATAGAAGATAGATCATAATGGACATGGTGTAATGGTCATTGGGTGCGAGATGCAACTGTACATGAATTCGTTATTGTAGCCTTGGAACACGGAAACTCGGGTTAAACATTCAACACAGCAACTTGCATGCATTGTGAAGCCGGCCAACTCCGCTCGAATAACTGCATGGTGGTGAAAAAAGGCGCAGAAAAATACATTCAAAACCACAGAGGAATTCTCAGCTCCACGCCCACATAGGTACCTAGGTACGCAGCGAAGGACTTTGAAGTCAACCCGTAAACTCGATGAATGGAAGGTTGTTGCCAAATCGGCATCGATCCCACTATGCTCCGCCAGGCTCAGCCAGGCGGGCTCCAGCTCCAGCCAAGCCCTAACCAGCCCCCAACCAATCACGTCCCCCCATCTCCCACCCCACCACGGCCCCCGCGCCCCACCCGCCAACGCCCATAAAAAAACCTTCGCACCTCCCAACTTCCTCTCCCTTTCCCTTTCCTTCCCTCATCAGCAACACCACCCCAACCCAGCGAAAACCACCCCGTCCGTCTCCTCTGCACCGCCACGTGAAGCGGAAGATAGACGGGCTCTGCTTTTCGTCTGGGTTGCGGTGGTGTTGTTGACCGGCGGCTCCACACAGTGGCTTGCTGAGGGTTAGTCTCTTTCCTCGATGATTCTTCCTCCGTTCCCGGCCTCCAACAGCAACGTCCCGCAAGGGGCGCGTTAGACCATCTCTCCCTTAATACATAGCTGCGGACGGCGACTCGCCGAGGTCCGTGGCCGTGGGGTGGTCTCGACAGATCTTTTGTTTTGAAACGCGTTTTGCATTTTTGTTTTGTGTACTATTGTGTGTGCCTATGCCTGTCAAATTGTGAGATTTGTGCGGGTCGGTCGAACGAGCGACGAGCGACGAGCGACTAAATCTATCGTCGCAATGCGCTGGGCAACAGGCTCGTGACTAACTTGTAGAGTGGCATTTCGTCGACTGGAGTAGACGCTCGTCCTCATCGCGTACCCTTCTCCGGTTGTTACGTACTCTGTGCTTGAATGGTCTAGCAAGCAACTGGCTGGGATTTACTCAAGGTGGACAATGATCATCACTTGAGTGCGAAAGGCATGATGCGTGGTCATCTAGTCCACAGGAACGCTCGTCGCGCCCGTTATACAGCCGTGGGAAAAGGCAATCATCGACCTACGAGGCATGAGACAATCACATGGGCACCAGAAAAGTTCAGAACAACATTGATTCATTAACCATGATACCGAGCTTTCGCCCGCGAGGTCCAACCATGCTATGAATTATGTTCTGAGTGGCCCAAGAAACCCCAGACCCTTTCCGTCACGGCATCAATCCTCGCTTAGTAGATGCGCTTGGGGGCGAACATGTAGCCTTGATGGTGAGGCTGCCAACGTTCTGCCAGCCCTTCTGAGCAGGGAGACAAAGTAGTTGATGCCAACATGATGTTGGCGATCAGCTGGTCTGGGTCATGCCAACGTTGCCGACAGCGACGCCCATGCACAGAACCTTCTTGAGCTGGAACTTGACGGTCGACTTGACTTCGGTAATCTTGGCGCTGAGGTCGTCGGCGTGCGAGACGGGGGTAGGGAACTTGCCAGCTGTGGACGGTTAGCCTCTGTCGTTGCCGGTGTGAAGTTGCGGGGACGGTGATTGAACATACCCTTGGACAGACCGGGGCCAAGCAGACGTGGGATCTGCTTGATCAAGGTGTCGGAGGCGACGAAGGCATCGTACTTGCGAGCCAGCTTCTTGATGAGCTTCTTGTTCTTGTTAAGCTTCTTCAAGTCGTCGGCGCTCATGGCATCGACGCCGCCATGCTTGGCCCTGTCAATATCGTGCTGGTCACCCAGGATGCAGATGGCCATGTTCGGGCGGGGGACGGAAGGCAGCTTGACAGTGCCGGAGAAACCTGGTGGTCCGGTTAGACTGCAGTCGCTCGCATTTCGTTCTCGTTGGACGTACGCTTGTCACGCTGGGGGTCATAGTTCTTCAGGCCGATCTGGAGCCTTTGTGGTTGTTAGCTAGTGATTCCCAAGCCATTCCACTCATTCGTGGGGGCGGCTTACTCGACGGTCTCCAGGAAGTTACGCTTCTTGGTCTCGTTGCTGTACTCGAGGAGCTCAGCAACGTTCTGACGCACACCGGCTGTAAACTGGTCAGTTTGCGGATCGTGGAGTCGTTGGTGGCTGTGATCGCATACCGACGGTAATTTTAGACATGTTGGCCGTCTTCCAGTAGAATTTCTTCTATAGGTGAGGTTTATTGCGTCGTGGACGAGAAGTTGCGAAGTTGGAGGTTTGAGGGAACGAATTTGCGAGACCACCGGGGCATTTTCAAATGTGGGACAGACGGCGGGGTGCCTGCGGCAGCATAAGTTACGCTAGTCCGTTTCAGGCTGGCCGTGAATTTGTGGGACAGCTGGCCACAGGCGATTGCCAGCTGTGCGCCAACAATACCTATCAATGCGACCGCCCAAACACCAAACATCAACTGCCTGCACTTCATGTATGATGTTGAGACCCAGGATGTGTGTTTTTTCCCGGTTGAAACCCTGGGTTAGTCGGCATTAGAAAATTTCCCTTATATCCCCCCGGGAGTTCTATTCCAGCCCGACCATCCAAGTGTTGACCTGCTCGGATTCATCTACCGGCCGACTTCAACGCCGAGGCGAACATAGTTGTGCAGCAGTGTGGTATTGCGAAGTCTGTGTTCTCGTCCAATAGTGGTTACGCAACTTGCTATTCGTCTTCACTATCAGAGGAGGAGGCCGATGCAGGCGATGCAGGGGATGCGGATGATGGCGTGCCCGAGTCGCTCTCTGAATCGGAAAGTGGCGGCGGAGGGGGTGGTAAGAATGCTCGGCTGGCATCTGTCCTTCTATATCCCTTCGGATGCCACCAGTCATTTAGAGGACATCTGAAGTCGGATAGGTCCACAAGCACACTACTTTTCTAGTTCTCCTTCTGAAGCGTCTGGGTGTACTCAAAACCAGCCCGCCAAAGGAAATCCAGGACTTCCTGCATCTGGCCCGTGTCGTTATCGCCTTCCGGAACGTACTCGTACATGATGGTAAAGTGTTGCTGACCGCGCACTATACAACGGTCACCGTACTTGGGTAATCTGACGGGTATCGGGCGTAGTCGCCGCTGTGGGAGGTTGTGAAGATATTCGCCGTCGATTTTCAGCCAGCCGAAGCACTTCTTCATGCGCGGAACGGATGTAATTTTCACGCCGTTGGCGTCTTTCACTTGCCGCCTCTGGCGGCCCTCTGCGGAAAAAGCCAACAGATTATCAATAGCGTCCTCAAAGCCAGCCGGTCGAGCGTGCACTCGTATGGGAAGAGTGTCTATGTCATGACTAGCCGCAGCTGCCATCTTCTCAAGGAGAGCGGCGTTTTGGGCCTCTCGCTCAGCCGCGTAGTAGAGCATGTACTTTGGCGGTGGCTTGGTGTCCCAGAACTGGCTAGTGTGTCAATACGACCGCCAATATGGAGTGAGAGCATTATTTAACGCACTACTTTGACAGCGAAAGGTCCCTCGCTGCCAACCATAACTTTCCATACTAACCCGTCAAGTCCACCGCTTAGTAAAGAAACCCACGAGATGGCTTCGAGATCAAACGGGCACCGCCGGAGGAGGGGCTGCTTGAAGGCCGCCTCCGAACAATCGGGAGGGCCAACGATTGGCGCTTCATCATAAAATGGTCGGCTTGCGAGCTCGGAATTGTGGTATTGAACCCGTTGAGACATTGAATCGACAAGAACACAAATGCAAATTACTAGTGCTGGAACGACGATGACACTGGTGTTTGCGGGTTGCAAACACAAAACAGCGAGAAAGGGTGCATGTTCTGAGACCCCAGGCAGCCTTCAGGACGCCAAGACTCCGGGGGCCTATGAGGTAGGGAGTGAGTTGGCGGGCCAGGCTCACTGGTATTGCCCGTGAGATGACATGCCGGCCGTCATCCCTCATGCGACTCGAACCAGGGGGCACTTTGCTACGCCGTGGGCCGGCCCATGATTTACCGACTAGGTCCCCATGGATGGACATGGGGAGAGTCTTGTAGTTGAACTCGTTCCACGGGACCCAGTTTCTAGGCTGCAACTGATGACTATTTGTGTTAGGGTCCCAGTTGACAGCGGAAGTTGTCAACCGCCATGTTCTTGACTTATAAAATGTCAAGTATTATTGCCATAGAGGTATCTGGGATGAGGTATCATGGTGCGGTAGGCACGTGAAGAGTGTCATCACATCGTTGACGAGGCCCAAGAATAAATGAGTGACAAAGAGACAGAGACACTTAAAGTGCCCTATAACATTATATTCCCGGTACGTCGGCGACGCAGACCTAGCGGTGCCGATGTGATATTAATCTCCCTTGAACGACACCGTGATTCCTAACTACATAGCATTAAATGTCCTTGTCGACACACCAACTTCCAGTCCCACAACCGCGGACGCAAGTGACGAAAGTGGTAACCCGGCCCGGCCATTTTCGGCACACTTTACACCGAGGATCGAAGGTGAACCCAAGCCTAGGTGGCAAAGCGCCTCCTTCTGCTGCTGATGCTGCTGCTACTGGAAAAGCCTTCGCATCCCCGAGGTGTGTACTGCCCGGCATGTACTTGCTGGTATCCGTAGCCTGGCGAGGTGCAACGAATGTCAGTAGGGGAACGGCAACAGGCTATATTCAGGGGATGTCCCCCATCCTAGTAGTCCGAGGGGACGGCGACTGGATGTACACATACCTGGATCAAAAGGCACACCTTCGGGTTCACTGGAGGGCCCACTGCTTGGTTTGACCGGGGCAGGATTATGGTTCGGTGACGGTCTGATGTTCAGCCCTACGGAACTCATGGTGTTTCGTGGGGGTCGTCGTTGGTACTGGGTTTCTTGTAATCACGGTCGGGTGCCAAAATGTAAGGAACTGGAAGTAGTTGGTGGTTTGATGTTGGGTTTGGATCTTGGTTTACCCCTTCTTGACGTCAGTTCAACTCCTTCTTATATGCGTAGGGCCCATTGTTCATGACCGCGACGACGCCACTAGAGAGGAAATGTTTGATGCTCAGGCGACGCTCCCGACTCAGAGTGTTTCGAAGAACCAAGGTGGCAGCCATCGCACAAGTCGCCGCCGTCCAACCATGTTGCTGAGCACACAGGATCCCTCCCGTCGCCAACGGTAGATAGCAGCCGCATCTGTACGGAACCCAGGCCATGCAACGGGACGTTTTACAGCCCATGCCCCTTTGAGAGAACCCGGCCTCCTTGGCTCTCGAGCAACGGCCAAGCATTACATCCCCTATCAGTCTTCTCTCACAAGTCGAGCGACGTTCACGGCTACGGGCCAGCTACTACGCCATCTGCGCGAATCGTACACAACATACAAAGACTGGATGGACTGACGATACGATACAGCGTGAGAAGGTGGCCACGCGGGGCAGGTCGCAGGCTGATGATCGAGTGGTCTCGGACCGAAACAGGCAGGCAGAACGCAAACTCAAGCCAAAACAGGAGCAGAAGAGTGGCTGATAAGGCGCGGGTGAACCACGAGTCTTGCCCAGACAGGACGATCCCGTCGGGTGGCAGAGTCTCTTGACGGGAACCAACTCCTGGCCGTTCCTGAGCACGACGGTGGGCTGTTCAAGAGCTGCGAGAACCCACCGACCTACCTACTCATTTTGTGAAGGCGCAGTGCTAGTATCCCTAAACCTCTCTGGTGGGCCTTTGAGATTCCGTGGCTATATGCAACCTGCCGCCACGGCTGGACCCAAAAGCGATTTGGCCGGGGCACGGCCGGGCTATGGTGGATATGCCGAACCCTTAAAACGGACATCTCGATCGCGCAGACAGAAAGCGGCAGATGGAGAGATCCTGTCAAATCCTCGTCGTGTAACCCGTCGCTGACAACGGGCACACATGGCACCTTGCACGCGCGCACAGGCTGTAGATAGCCGCGAGACACACCGTCATAGGGACACATACAAGAAGGATGAGGCTAGTTTGGTGAAATCTTGGGACACTGGCAGTTTTCTAGCCCCCCAGCACATCGAACTCGTGGTGAAAGAAAGAATGTCGGGAGCCCCCACCACCAGAACCCAGGGCCATCGAGGCTCGAGCTCTGGTTCCCGAAGGAAAATCGTGGTGGGAGACCCAGAATTCTCTGGCACGCAATATGACCGATGGCGAGTGAGGAGTGTCAAAACCGGTTGATTTATGGTGCTAAAAGTGTATGGAGAAAAAAGAAGAAGAAAAGGAAACAACGTCCAGATTGAGCCGTTATCTCAACTCAAAAATGCTGTATGGGTGGGGCCATGGTGTCGCCGGCACGACTCGGGCCGGCAATAAGAGGCACGGACCATGCCAATTTGGGGTCTAGCCCCACCATCTTCGCCAAATAAAAACCGCCAGCTCAAGAAATTCCTTCCCTGGGACTGACAACTCCAACGAAAAGTTCTGGACCTGGAATCCCGAAAAGTGTGCAACGCTTCACGCTCTCGCCTGAGCGACCGCGATTTTATGCTGCAGCGTCCTCCGTCACCTCATCGGAGCACAATCAGTCACACCAAGGTTTTCCTCGTTACCGCGATGCTCAGCGGTCTTGCTCTGCGCATCGCTGCTTTTTGGAAGCACCATTTCTTTTCCATTCCGAACAGCTTCGGAATCTCGCAGCTCTTGACTTGAGAGCCGCGACACCTTTTAGCGAAACCACGATTTGCCTACCTTTGTGCCTTTCAGTGCACAACAGGTTAACTTATTATATCGTTCGCAGTGGAAGAACAATCCAACGGCCTAGACAGCCAGTCCTATCCACCCTGCTGCCGGGCTGTATCCGTACGGTAGCAGGACTAAAACGGACAAACATCTCATGACCAACACGTGCTGTGCATCCTGATGTGTACAAACCCTGGATGCGCTCCAGGCTGCATTCTATTCATCGTCTCATCGTATCAAACATGAAATTGTTCCGTATGTCCCTGGGAATCTCTCTCGAACTCGCAACTCGCACAATCCCGTCGGTGCTCCAAAACGCCAGAAAATATCAAACCCATAGCCCCCCCTTTCTATGTCTTCCCGTCGAAGATGTACTTCTCATCGGTGAAAGAGAGCAAGAACTTGGCGACCAGCCGGCCGGTGTAGTTGTAGGCCACGTTGCGAGGGTACGGGTGGTCCTCGATGTTGGGCAGGATGGGGTCGGCCGTCAAGTAGTCCAACTCAGACCCTGTCTTGGTTAGCATGGTCTTTCTTTGCAAACATCCGAGGATAGCAAACTCACAATCATCATCGATGAAGCGCCTCAACTGCCGCACCATGTCGCCGGCCTCGCGGTCCAGCTCGCCCAGCTCAAAGCAGGCATCGTCGATCAGGGGGTTGAAGCTGCGGGCAGCGGCGTCGCGCGAATGCGTCTGGTAGATTTGGTGGAACTGGAAGGCGAACTGCTTGAAGGGCATGTTCTCGATCTCCCTGTTGATGCCGAGCACAAAGGACCGCTGCCAGGCTGGGGCGTAGTGGCGCCGCAGGTTGATCTCGTTGTCCGAGATGACGAACAGGTCGGCCGCCATCTCGACCGACTCCATGAACAGGCACAGCACCAGGAATGAGGCCAAACACGGCGCCCACTCCCTGCGCAGCTTGGGCTTGAGCGACTTGCTGAAGTTCTCAAACAACAGCTGCATCTCGCGGCACAGCATCTCGTCGACGACGGCCTTGATCTGCCGGTTCAGCACCCGCGGCGTCACCCACGGCACCCCCTGCGGCACCAGCCCGGTCGACTGGAGCTCGACAATATTCTCCTGCGTCAGGCAGAGGTGCCTGGTCATGACAAAGTGCATGGCGTAGATGGACAGCGCCCGGCGGACCATGGGCACATCGCAGCGGTTCGCGTAGTCGTGCACAATCCGCAACACCTTCCTCGGCAGCTCTGTATGCTGCGGCGCGGGCGTGACCAGCTCTGCAAACCGCGGCTCATCCACCAACGACTGGATATACTCCCTCAACTTCTTTTTCAACTCGCCCTTCTGCCCATCACTCCCCTCCTTCCCGCCCTCCCCCTTCGGCATCTCCAACCCAATCGGCGCGGCCCCCCTCGCCGCCAAATCCATCCCATTCCTCCCCATCTGCACATGCCAATGCTGCAACACATCCGGGCTCCTCGCCGTAAAGAACTTGGCCCTCACCTCCAGGACACTCCTCCTCCCAAAACCCACCCCGGACACCAACGCCACCGTACACGGCACTTCCACCCCCCCGACCCTAAAACACTCCACATTCCCCTCCACAAACCGCACCACCTCCTCCCTCTTCAAATGGCCCCTTATAAACCCCGGAAACAGCACCGGCGTAAAATCCCCAAACTGCCAGCACACCACCTGCGGCACACTGCCCGCCAACCTTACACAATTCCTGCACGGCCGCTCCTTGTCACAACGCACTTTACGCGCGTGGCAGCTGAAACAGGCGCCCATGCGGCGCACGACCAGGGCGGACTGCTTGGTGTCGGTGGCGAGGGGGCCCTTGCGGCCGCGCTGGGTGGGGCCGCGCGCGAGGGCGTCGACGCAGTCGAACGGGTTGAGGTTGGGTTGCGTGGCCGTGTTGAGCGTGATGGAGGAGGGGGTGACGATGAGGAATTTGGAGGCGGCGGTGGAGGAGGCTGAGGTGGAGGTGGTGGAGGAGGAGGTGCTGGTGGGGGAGGCGGAGGTCGGGGAGGGGTGGGGGGCGGTTGGGGTGCGCCGGGGGTTTTTGGATGCGGTTGTTGGTGTTGAGTTTGCGCGTGGCGGGGATGGTTTTAGGGGCGGAGGTGGGCGGTGTCCGGCGTCGGTCGGGGAGGCCGGGCTCGAACTTGATTTGTGGTTGGGCTGGGGAGTGTGGGCCGGCGCTGGCGGGTGGGCTGACCGAGACGGAGTGCAGGGAGGGGGAGTAGGAGTGGGAGTGGGATGGCGAACCCGACATGAAGCTTGGGTCTTCGATGATGAAGATGGGGGAGGCTTCGTTGGCGGACGGGGGGGTGTTGTTGTTGCTGCTGTTGCTGTTGGTGTGGGCGTGGGCATGGGCGTGGACGTGGGAGTTGGTGTTCATCTCGTGGTTGCCCCTGAGGTTGATGTGCTCCCATGGTGGCACGTTGATGGCCGACTGCGGGTTCTCGAAATGGCCGGTCTCGAGTGACTGTGACTGTTGCTCTTCGAGTATGCTGGCCGAAGAGAAAGGGTTGAACACACCATCGTAGTCTACAGCGATGGTTAGCATACCACCCACAAAAACCTTGCCTAACACCCACGCACCTTCGCTGTTGAACTGGTTGAATACGACATCGGCTGGTGCCTCGACCGAAGGCATGAAACCCAGTCCATGATTCTCCAAGCCGTGATTCTCTAGTCCCTGGTTATCCAACCCGTGGAAGAAGCTCACGTCCCCATATACACCACTCCTGCTCTGCTCGACGGCCGTTGAATAAGGACTCGGCTGATCAAAGTCCCCATGCAAAGGCGATGGCAGAGCTGCCGGCGAAGGGTGTTGCAGCTCTACAAGTTGGCCATCTGGTAAGACGGCCCACGAACTCCCCAGGCTGTGTGCCGGGCTGGACAAGAGCCCGAGTGATCCGGAACTGGGGTTGCTAATCGCCGTCCAAAACGCCTCGTCCTGTTCGCGCGTCGAATCCGGGGGAAACTCAAATTCGAGGCCCGAAAGCGGCGATGTACCCGACGAGACTGATGCCGATGCCATGGCTGCTGAGGTTACCGTGGTGCTGGTCGCACCGATCCGGCGATGCTGTACTGTGTTTGCTTGTCTTTTGTCGTCGTGTGCTCTGTTCGAGCCTGTGTCGTAGCTGTCCACCACCACCTGCCGTCAACCGTGTCCAGAGCGCACCGAAGGATGTTGTTTGTCCTCGGTCAGGGGCGGCGAAACGTAGCGCGGGGAGTCTGGTGGTAGTGTTCGTCCGGTTTGACGGGGGCTGTGAGAGAGGGGATCGAAGCACAGGTTTCCGTGTGTGCAAGACACCGATTTCCAATACACAACGGACGAATATCCGAATATCACAGCAAAAACCGGTCGGTGCAAGATGTGATTTTCCTCGATGGGGAATAGACACAAGAGAAACCCTTGTCGTCGTCGATGCGGGGCGGACGTTGATCTTAAAGGCGGGCGGCCATGACAATCCCCCATGCTCAGCCTCGAGGGACTAAACTGGAACGAGCGACCGAATGGGAATTCAGGCGGGCAGAACGTGGATGGGGGGCGGGAGACAGGGATTGCCGATCGCCCTCTCGGCGTAAGCTAGCCCCTTTTTGATCACCGAGGCCACTCTGCCGGGCCGGCTTGCATCTGCGGTGCACACCGAGGTCCTGGAACAGCGAGAGTATAAAGGAGGGCCTTGGTCCTTGCTCGGTGACGAGGCAGAATGACTTGATGGTTCTTGCCAATCGGGGCTTTGCCCTGTCGCCGTGGGTTGAACAAACTTTGTCTTGTGGGACTGCGTATACTACATGCCGAGTGGCGATGGCATGGCTGGGCCTCTCTCATTTTCTACTTGCAAGTGTCAGTAACACAGCGAGGAAGCAAGGTTACCTCCTGCTCTCTGGAGTTGACAACGTGTTACTCCTGAGCCCGTCTAGGGTGACACAAATGCATTTCACAACAACAAATACCACAGATGCATCATGCGTGCTTTCAGACACCAACAAAGCCATTTTGGCCGGGACCAAAACGCAATCAACAGTACGCAAAACATAAATAGTCAAAGTACTAACTAAAAGCAGAGTGCCTACCCAAAACCACAGATCTTGCCATCCCAGCAACCTTCTAGCAAACGTGTTCGAACGAAATAGCCTCCCACCCACGCAGTCATCATCAGATTGCCTCGGCTCCGCTCCAGAGCGTATGCGAAGAGCCGAATGAAAAGGAAATAAAGGTCATCAGACACACAATAGACAAGAACCAAAACCAGCCGCGCGTATATCCCTCCCTTCATCAAGTGAGCGTCGGATGACAAAACCACCTGACAAAGTGCAAAAAAAACAGGCCGTCAGCAACCAAAAGTCATGAGCCAGAGAGCAATGCGTATCCATCGGCCCAGCCCAGCCAGCAGATACCATCGAGCAGCCCTCGCCACATTCGCTAGAATGAGAGGAATGAATGCCCGGCAAAAGAAAGCCCACGCTTCCTTCGAAAGGCCCATCTATTGTTCCCAGGCCATCCATCATAAACCAAAAAACCTGCAGTGGTGGTCGAGTCACCGTCGGCATAAATCGTATCATGCGTGCATACATTGCAGCAGCAGCAACCCCTTGTGGCAGGGGGGCCAAAAAAACGTAATGGGGGGGTTGTTTATCCTTCCGGTAAGCCGTCCATTCCTAGGCGGCAGAAAACGTCATAAAAAACGTGAGCGTATGAGGGCGAGCGTGAGCGTGTTGGTCTCAAAAAAACGACCGGGCACGTACGGCCCAAAAGTGATATGGCAGAGCCGGGTCATCAAAGATCCCATAAGAAAAGGAAAAACGTTGTGGGGTTGGTGTCAATGTTGCCAACCATGCCGTAAAGAGAACGGCAAAGAGTCATGGAGAGGAGGCTCATGGGAGCGCCTCTTCTCTGTTGACGGAATTAACGGAACCTCATGGTGCCAGAAGCCGCGGCGGCTGCCGCGACTCGCTCCTGGATCCGCTGTTCCGTGGAAACGTATAATCTGTCAAGATAGTCCTGGAAGCGTGTTAGTCTCATCATCGGCCCGGCCGTGTAACATGAGAGAGCCAAGGGTGATGCCGATTTCTCCCGCCTTTCATCCCCGCGCTTGGAGGAGATGTGGTGAGGCAAGCAGGGGCAAAGAACAGAAAAAAAAAAAACATACCATAGCTGGTGCATCCTTGACAATCTTGGCCACCTGTATCCCCGCCGAGATCAGCTGCAAGATATTCCGGTCATCCTTGAGCGGGCGGCTCTGGTGCTTGGCGGCGTGGCGCATCTCGAGCGAGTTCTCCAGGATGGTCACAAACTGCTTGATCTGGCCGTTGTACAGCACGCGGGCGGGGATGCGCCGCTTGGTGGCCAGCCGCTTCAGCAGGTACACCCACTCGGTCCACTCGCGGTCCTGGGGCCGCTCGACGGGCCGCATGTCCTGCGTCAGCGGGATCGGGAACTGGTACTTGGCCACGAAGTCGTACGCGCACTGCGACAGCCGGTCGTTGACCTGGTTCAGGACACTATCCTGCTCCTGCACCAGCAGGTGCGTCGGCAGCCGCGGCAGCTCCCGCTCCTGCATCGCCACGTACTCGGCCGGGGGGCGCTTGAGGTACTGGTGCGGGCCGTCGAACTCGTCCCGGTTCGACGGCCGCCTCAGCGTCCGCGGCTTGGTTCCGACGCCACCGTTGCTGACACCGCCGCCGCCGCCGCCGCCGCCGCCACTACCACCGCTGCCACCGCTTCCGCTTCCGCCTACGGTCCCGTTCATTCGGCCATTGGTCTTGCCGCCGCCCGGTGCCGCGGAACCGAGCATGGCATTGTCCAAAGAGTAATCCGAGAGGCTCGGGGAGGCCAGGTCATCCATGGAATCCGAGGGCGAGTATCTGCTCTGGTAGGGCGCCGGGTTGTTCACCGGGTAGCTCGGCGGCTGGTCCCATCCAAACGAACTCTTGAAGGAAACCGGCCCTGGTGCCGGGCTGGTATAGGGCCCCTGCGCCAGCCGGGGATTGCATGCTGGGATAGGAGAAAACGTAGGCTCGACGGGGGTTCGCCTGAGCTGGGAGACAACTCCCGCTGGAAAGTTGGCCGGCAGGTTATGGGTGGATGCAGCAGCGCCTGGTGTGTATGTCACGCTTTTGAGAGAGACGCTGTTATTCTCATGATCCTGAAAGAGAAAGAGGAAAAAAGAAAAGGGGATTTCGCTCGGTTGGCAATCTTACCTTTGCGGAAGAGACGGGGTGCTCCCCGTCTCAAACTTGGCACTATAAAACGGGTTATTGTAAATGGGGCTTGAGAGAGCCGTTAGCTGCCATGCACTCCTCTCCTGCCGGGCGGTTTCGAGGTTCTGTCCACACCTTCGTGAAGCAAGCCACCGCTCGTTGGTCATGGGAGCGGTCGGGCGGTAGGCAAAGTCTGCCATGATTCCTTTTCTCTCACTCTTTCACTCTCTCTCACACAATCTTGTGTGGGTCCTATCCGTCCCGGCTGGGTTCTGGTTTTTTTTTTTTCTCTGTTCTTTTTGTTCCCTTGTCCAAATGGTAGTATCCTTGGGAATGGGGCGTGGGGGGGGGGAGTCCTCCTTGAATGGCGCGATCGATCACTGCAGCAATGTCCTCTGGTCCTTGGAATTCGGCTGAAGAAAGAAAACAGCAGACGTGAAACAGAAAAGAGAACGGCCCAAGATAGTACGACTGTCAAGGTGCTAAGTCCAGATCCGAAGGGCAACCGAAGAAAAACCTGCGACCGGGATGTCCTGGGATAACGGCCACCAAACTCAAAATTTCAGGGGATCCACGGGGCGGCGAGAGCTTCACCGGGATGTGTCCTTTGGCGGTGGTAGCAGTTGGTAACCCGGGGGAACGGTCGACCAGACTGACGGAGTCCACCGAACGAATTTGTATGTGTGCCTCTCTCTGGGCGGGAGACAACGTGGCTCTGTTTCAAAGTCAAAGAATGTTGTCAAGCCCAGACAGGGTTTGGGGGGAGGCTAGGAAACGGTCCCAAGATGGAGACATATATGCCCCCGCTAGGGCTAGGTGGCAAGGTTGACGCTGTCAGGGCTGCAGCGCAGCAGGGCAGGGCAGGGCAGGGCGGCAGACCGAGCAGCCGAACAACAGCAGCTAGTCAGTCAGTGTAGGGCGGCGCAGCCAGTCCAGTCGCCCGCATCGAGAAAAGAGGAGAGGGGAGAGAGAGGAGAGAGGTGTTTCCTCCCACCCAAACCTGTCGTCCGCCGCCAGCTGGACAGCACCTTAACCGGGGAGAGGACCCAAGGAGCTACGCTAGAGGAACGGAGTGCGGCAGAGGACAAAAGGCGTTGTTGCCCGGTGTGAAGTCGCGCATGCACAAGCAGCTTCGTGACCTCCTTGGCGCCCGTCAGGTGGAGAAACCGGGAACCAAAGCAAGCCAAGTTGGGCCATGACGAGTGGGCGGCGAGCGAAGATCACCAAGAGGGTGAAAGCGGCCGAAGATCAGATGCAAGGGCAGTCCAATGGCTAGCAGCATTTCACAGCGACTCGGATCCGCTCCTCCGTCGCAAAAAACCTCCCACCACACCACACCACACCAACCATATGGTTGTCGTCGCAAGCGCCATGCTGAATGCCGTCTGCCGTCGAGGGAAATCAATGGCACAATGCGCACAATGCACACGATGCGCACAATGAGGGGACGGTAAGGTACCGTTGGGCGCCGATGGACTTCCGAAGCAGGCTTGCGCTGTCGCCCAACGCCCAGACAATTCAGACGCCCCGGCAGTCGCGATTGGTGCCAGGACACACACTCCGTCCCGAACAATGGCGGTGACGGTACGATATGATTCGGGGGAGGAGAGGAGCGTTGGGCAGGGACGCGCTTCGCTGGGCGAGCCCAACCATCCCGCAACGTCCGCATCTTGATCTGGTGCCACGCATCCTCATGCGCCCGATGCTCTTCCGGACCAGTGTGGGTTCGACGAGGAATGCCGTCTCGAACCTGCCGCATGTTGACACGCGGTGCGCTTCTCGCAACACCCCTGACAGTCCGGCTCTCTTTAAGAAGCGAGAGGGACGGCCGTGATGCGCCGCCCCGATTGCCATCCTTGGTGTTTTTGGAGCGAATTCGGCATGGCGGACTGCAGCGTGCCAAACACGGCGCGGACCCTGGCCGAGAAGAGACCCATTGATAAAGACTCGACCCAGCGCACAAATGCCTTTCTTACCTTTTCACGTGCGCTCACCCTAACACACTGTAACCGATCCCCGATTTCTTCAGCTTCGACGCGGCCCGAGCTCCGCTTTTCTCGGCACCTTTCCCGGCTCTAAAGCACACCAACTCCCGGAACTATCCCAGGTTGTCGCAATTCATCTTACTAGCTTGCGGACATTGAGGTCGCCGCCGCCACCGCGGCGCAGCCACTTTCTAAGCGCATGGCTTGACCGCCATGGCATCCTAGCCTTGGACTTTTGCCTTGTTCCACCGAGACTGGACTGCTCCTTTCCCCGAGCACAGCATGGTAAGTGAGGTAGATGGCCAGCCACGGAGCCGTCCTCGGATCATAACTCTACTTCCCTTCGGTGTAAGCCCCAAGCATCTGGGTGCGTCATGCCAAAGTCCAGCCGGACGGGACACTGAAAGCTGGTAAACGCTGCTCGGGAGTTAGTGCTGTTCGGTTTGACCGTTCATCCCGATGTGCGACGTTTGGACATCACGATGTCCGTCGCTGATGTCATCCATCGCCCCCTTGGGCTGGAGAGCGAGATCTCAAATCGTCGTCAAGTACCACCAAAACCCAACCGGCCATGACAGTTTCGCAGAGAACCCTCCAACCCTAACGACAATTGCCGAAACTAAGCGCCTCTGCTTTTTCGGACGGACTCCATCAAGGCCGAACCTGCAGGACACTGCAGGGCACTGCACCGCATCTGCACAACACTTGCATGAGGCTACACCTCGACCTTCACCTTCGGCAGTTGCATCCCGAAATGCTCTTTTGGGACATGCCCAAGCATTACCGAGAGGGCGGCGATAGCGTTGTGAAGCGTCAGCATGCTGTTGGCGAGGGCAGAGAGCCACACCAAAGAAGTATCCGCAACTTGGTGAAGAGCATCTGCTGTTGTGAGTGAGTGCGTCTCCCGAGTAATGGCCTGGGCCGATGGGAGATCAATATCTAACAGCGAGGCAGTGAATACCTTCTGCGGATTGTTCATGACTCGGTCACTTCCCGGAGCTCAACCACGATCTTGGTCGGCATGGAGCATGACATATCGAACTTCGGACGTAATGTTCAGGCTCACCATCTTTGTGAACTGGTCGTTGCTTAATCTCAAATTGGCGCTCGTCGAAACGTCTCTCGGAGGGAACCCTTAAGGCAGGGAAATGCTCACCTTCGCGTAACGTTCATGCCCCTGAGCCCCTTCTCGAAGCTGTTGTTAACAAACGTCTCCGGATTTCTCGTCTCGCTTCACCTTCGACGTACAGCTCTGGCATCTGTTCTTTGGTCCAGTAAATAAGCTCCTTTTATGAACAGAGACGTCTTCGTCCGAGTGTCATGGTGGCTTCTGGGACCGGTACCCTTGGAAGAGTTGGGTCTGGGTTGGATCTTCATCTTTCGAAACCTGGTGAGGTGAGTTCCCGGAAGTTCGCGACACAAGTTGCTGAAGCCATGCTTTATGCTTCAGCAAGGTTTGTTGGTGCTGTCAGTACCCCTTACCAGATCTTGAACTCCAGTTCATGCTGACTCCTCTGACATGTGTCGAGGTGTCTCATGAGACCCGAGTCATGATCAACATGTTCCTGAGGGGTGGCTCGCCTTGAAGGGATGTGAGTTGGCCGGCGACTTTGTCGTGCTTTGTCGTTTGCTGGCATGCTGGCATGCTGGATTGCTGGATGATTTGTAACAGAGCGAGGATCAACCGGACCAAGTCCTATGAGTCAACGCTCCATCGGGCTCCTATCAGTGGAAGTCTTCCACCTATTGGTTTGCCGAAGGTTGGCGCGGCAAACGCGCAAAAAGCTGAAGGCCGGCAGAGCCCCTCATCGACGCACGCAACCGGATCCGGCCTCTTGCCCCTCTGCCTCTCGCCCGGCACACATCTCCAGGTAAGGAGGTTTCGACCATGAGACGTTACCTCTTGATGCAGAAGATAAGCGACGATGCGAGCCACAGCAATCACGACATGCCACACATACCGCCCCTCATCAACATTGCCCGCCAGGTTGGCATCGACTTAACATGACTCGCATGGGGAACGGGGCAACTGTCTCGGCGTCAACTTGCCCCAGAGGCTCGAGGCTGGACAGGGCGAACACGGCGACCCGTCACCTGGTCGGAATTCCAACAGTCTACCCTCGCCCCGAGGCTGCGTTGACCACCAACACGTCGAGGGCACAATACTGCTCGGGCCGACCGGCCACCACGCGCTTGAATGGCCAGACATCGTCCACTTAAACGCCAAAGCTCACACCAGAGCCCATGACCCTCCCACATTCGTCGACGCGCATCTTTGCTCTGCATTGCCTTGCAGACCACTCGACACACACAACACGGCGGATAGCGACAGCAATGTGAGGACAGCTGGCTCTCGTGGGTCAGATGCGGCTCCATGTCGCAGGGACTCGCATGACAGCGGGGAAGCTCAAACGTCATAGTGAGAGCAACAGCGGGGTCATGGTTCCCACGAGGCTCGCGTATCTCGCTGACTGCCTGCGTCTGCTTGCGTCTGCACAAGCAGAGCGGCTGTATCTCGACAGCGCCGCAGCGCAGAGCATCGCGGTCGGCGGCACGCGCGGATTCTGGAGGCGTGCCATGGCGAGCTGGCAGTTTGCGCTGGCCATGCCAATGCTGCCGTCAATTGAGTCCGCATGAAGAGCCGGCGAATGCGGAAGCAGAATCGGCTTGCTCCCCTCACGAGATGGCCGGAGGAGTGGGCTAGCCCGTCTGCAGTGATGCGTTGGCACTCTGTCTGCTGCTCCCCAGGCCCCTGTAAATGTTGCAGGCTAGCCGTGGTTGGAGCTTGTTGGTGGTCGTGATAGGTCCGAATGCCCTCCCCCTGCCCCGCCGAGACCCCCATCAAGCAACAGAAACAAGAAACCAGCACCAGTCAACAGCGGTGTGCGATGCAGGCGTGCGGGTCTGACCTATAGGAGAGTCGGAAGGTCTCTGCCAGCTCAGCGCCGCCTTAATGTGACAGGTCGTGAACACGGCGGCCGGCGCAGCATCGTGAGAATTCGCGCGCGGATTGGTGAGTGAAAGTGCAGGAAAATGCGGGAGAAGCGGCAGGAAACATTGTGATGAGCAAGCGCCCAGAAGGAAGCGGGGCTCTTGCTCATTTGAAAAAAATGCTCATTGAATTGCAAGGGGTGGAAAGGGAAGCGACGACCAGGGACGATGCCCCAGGATTAAAACCCGACTGCCCCTTCTCTTGCCCAACTGGATGCTCTCTCCCTCTAATTTTCCAGCCAGAGCCCAACGACCCGCAAAACATTTCAGCCCAACACGAAAACCCCTCGACCCGGACTTTCATCCTTAGCCTGTTGCTCTCTGCACCCCTCTTGGCCTCGTTGCCTTCTTATACGCCAATTCTCCGCCACCTGTCATCTGTTCTCTTGCTTTCTGATCCAGGCCGCGCACACCCCAGACCCCAGACTTTTGCTTCCATCACGCCCCAAAAAAGGATTCATCTGTTGTACGGCAGCATTCCTTGCAGCACGACATCAGTTCAGTCCACAGGATTTCCATCTGCCACAAGGATTCGGACACGCGGGAGCCCCCGTTGCTGTCTGCCACTCGGAATCGAGCAATCAGCTTGCTCTTGAATGCCTCCAGGAATGTCTTCCATGGTTATGCCCCGGACTGAGACCATGCCTGGCTACAACCACATTGAACTGGACGAGGTTCACACCCCCTCGAGGTATTTTGCTTTGCTTTCATACTGTTTTCCTGGGAGGTCCATTGTGCATTTTGGCGTTCTGCTTTTTCCTGTTGCGAATCAAATCATGTCCTTTCCTATGTGTCGACCCAGAGGTCCCTCAGTGAGGCGAGCCTAAACGGTCAACTGGCGACAAAAATTCACCGAGGACAGCCACAAGGAGCCACTGAGGATCATGCGCTGCATTTCACCTGGAGCCCACACATGCCCGGACGCTTGTTTTCCATGGACTGCCATGCGCACACTACCCATGCTGGATCCGACTCGTCCGAGTCGCGGAACAAGAACAGCCAACCCTGTCTCTGACTAGGAAGGTTGCTTCTCAAAACGTTATTGTCATCACAAGCTCCTCGAGCTCTTTTACACAGTAAGTTTCACCAACGACTTGGCCGGACTTGGACCTCGACAACCATCACAGCTTTCTGGTTTTCTTTTCTTTTATGGACACCGCAATCAGTGCATTTTCAAACTACAACAGCCTTGGTCAAAGGACAGGACGCCAAAAGGATTTTCATTGCTTCACCGGTCTTCCTGTGGATAACGATTTTGTCAGCTTAACTGGAAATGGCTGGAACCAAGGCAACTCGACATGGACATCTCGCTCCCCTGATACCCTGTTTCTCTCTCGCCACTTGAGGTTTCTCTTACATGGACGCCCTGACAACTGCATCCCCTGGATACACTCAGCCCAACATGACAACATTGTACCTTGTTTCGATCTCCTGGACGCTGTCCATCCGTACAAGGATTGATGCCACTGTTTTGACGACCTTCACGACACCTCGCCCTTCTGGAATTTGAACCGAGAGCTCGGTTGAGCTAATCAGCCTCGCCCAATCTTGCCCGAATGCCCTTGGATCACCCCTTTAGTCACAAGCCCAGGAACGGATTGCTCTTGATTATGACCGGATTTTTCTTTTCTGGCTTTTGGCCCGCCAATGCGTTGTCTTTTTCTTCCATGCCGGAACCCGACAACACGCTCAGTTTGGTTTGTGACCATCCCCTGTGACAAGCCGCAGAGCTCCTCAACTAACACTCCGCGCCGCAGGAACAAAGTTGTGCCATCTGATGCCATTTCCTTGGTCTTTCCTCAGACTTGCATCATGCCAAACAGTGGTTGAACAGCACACTAACTCTACCCAGCGAATACAGCTTTGCTCAGCCCAACATGCTTCCCTCCAATGCTTCCGGGATGTTTTCCTTTTGTCAAACAGGACCAGCGGACCTGGCGGGTTCGTCCTGGGACGCGACAGTTGAAGGATCACAGAACTTCCCTGAGCTCGCAGATGCTGCGGACTACTACACTGGAGAAACCGAGGATTTCGTTCTTCCCTTTGGCCAAAACACCCCCAAACCGGACCATCTGGATGCCTCAGATGACTTTCAGGCCAGGTGGACTCCCCTCGCAGTCGAGGGCAAGGCTCTGAAGGCGGAGCCCATGCGGAGAGGGACTTCGCGCAGCTCCGCGGGGAGCCACAAGAACAGGAGCACCAAGATCTCCGCCCAGTCAGTCAAGAAGAACCGCTCAAGGGTCCAGACCATTCTGTCACAGACGTCTTCGCAGATGTCCAAGCTTGACATGTCAGGTAATGCATCGGCCTACGCTCAGGGCCGCATCATGGACGTTCAGCAGTACCTTGCTCAGGACCTGGACACTCTTTCTGTTTCGCCTCAGGTGAACGGCGCTGCCATTCTACCAGGGACTCGTAGGGTTTCGCGGATGGAACTTTCCCTAAGCTGAAGACATTCGGAGGCGCCCACGGCCCCAGACATGTGAACCCCCCATATCTTTAAATGCTCGGCCTTCATCGGCGGATTCCCACCCACTCGTGGGGGCTCGCTGAGCCCCGTTGATTCGCCGCTTGTCTTCCCCCGAGGCTGCAGGACGGCTCAGACGATGTCTGGTCTGCCCGCGCCATCCGCCTCTTCCCCCCGCAGACAGCCCAGCACTCAAACTCGCCAGCTCTGCAAAGGCCAGTCACCCAGGTAAGCTGTGCTCTCCGACACCGTGTTAACACAGTATTTTCTTACGCATTCAGTGCCACAGGTTGAACCGCAAGCTGGATGCTTCGCAATATGTCACCACTGAGGACCTGCACGGAAACATGATCCCCGCCATCGGCGACGATGGCTTTGCCCTGCCCCACTCTGCCTTCGGCTCCCGCCGTATGAGCGGCGAGGGCGAGTCTGCCCGGGACCACTACCTCTACAAGAACGCGTTCCCCCACGCGGACGGCCTCTTCCACTGCCCGTGGGAGGGCCAGGCGAGCTGCAACCACAAGGCCGAGAAGCTCAAGTGCAACTACGAGTAAGGACGATTGCCTCCTCTCACCCCTGACCTCAAGCAACTGACCCCATCGCAGCAAGTTCGTGGACTCTCACCTCAAGCCTTACCGCTGCAAGGTTGAGGGCTGCCAGAATGCCCGGTTTTCTTCTACTGCCTGCCTCCTCCGCCATGAGCGCGAGGCTCACGCCATGCACGGTCACGGGGAGAAGCCTTACCTGTGCACCTACGAGGGCTGTGAGCGCTCTATCGCCGGCCACGGTTTCCCCCGGCAATGGAACCTCAGGGACCACATGAGGCGCGTGCACAACGACAACGGCACCACTGCCCAACCCGCTTCTCCTCCTCCTTCGGGAGCTGCTACCACGTCGAGGGGACGCAAGAGGAAGAGCGACGCCGCGGAGAAGCAGTCCAACCAGGAGAAGCCCAGCTCTCGGAAGTCATCCAAGGCTGCGGTGGAGTCGGTCGCCCAGGCTCAGAAGCAGCCCGAGCCGGTCGCTCACCCCGAGCTTGACCAGTGGTATGAGCACCAGAAGTCGCTCCAGACCTTCATCCAGGGATGCGTCCAGCCGGACGACGCGCAGACTCTCCAGTACATCAAGGATGCCCAGGAACACCTGAACGCCATGGGAAAGATCTCGCACGGCCTCATCCAGGGATCGCGCCGCTCGTGGAGGGGTTGAATACCGTGAGTTCTATCCTCCATGACTGACTTGCATAACATTTCGCTAATACGCACTGCAGTATGAACCCATTTATCATCTAGACACGCTGTGTTGGATGTGACGGTCTGCAAGTGCAGATTCCCTTGCTAGGTACTTCGGCGTCTCCAAGATGATGCCATTACCATTGGATAGCGAGGAGACACAGATCTCGCGGCCTACCATGGCCGCGTCCCAACACGGCACGAGCCGGACCACCCCGGATGAGATGTCGAGCCAAGGCCGACGACCCCCGGGACTTTGTCTGGCCCTAAATGTGGATGGGTCGAGACTGGAGTATGCTGCTTGGAGACTCGCATAGCGAGCTACCATTGCGCTGCTCTTGTTGGGTATGAACACGGGGATCAGTCAGTGGGACTGAGAGGAATGGGTGGAGGCGGAGGAAAAGAAGAAGAAAAAGTAAAGAAGAGTACAAAAAAGTAAAAGGTGCCATAAATTGGTCTCCTGATGGTACAGTCACGTCTACGACACGGGGCAATTGGGAGGAAGGCTATGGGTTACGACTTGATGATTGATGACCTTCCTCTGTTTGGGATTTTTTCTTGGGGTTTGGTTTGGTTAGGATGGTTTAGGATATCCGGTCGCAGTTAGAATATTTGGACTTTTGGTTCTCGAAACATTGGACATTTGGCGTTTGATAGAAGATCCTGTAGCCTCAAGGCAGCACATAACAAAACATGAGCAATTTTGACAGTTATTTCAAGACTCTGAGCATGAGTTTTTGGTTTGATGTGTTGGTGATGTGTTGGTGATGTGGGAGGTGCCGAAGGATAAAATGGGGTCTGAACAACCCTTAGCAACCCCTGGATGCGCTGTAAATTCAGAGGGTCCTTGAAAGGAACGCTGGAGGGTTGGTGGTGAGTTTGGTGGTCGGAAGCGTTCCGGCAGTGGTTCGAGGGGGTGTGGATTGAGATGGGTGTGGCAATGGGTTCACCGACCAACCATCTGAAAAGAGAATTCAGGCCAGAATCTGCCCTAAAATTATCCTATCTATCTATCTACTCCTTGTTGCCTAATTGGCCCCTTTTGATGCACCAAACTCACCAATAAACCCCCACTTCCCATCATCGAACAGGAAGCAACAAGAACTGAACGCAGCCCTTCATCCACCTTTTTCAACCTCCAATCTCCAACCTCCTCCTCAACCCCCAGAATCCCTCACCCCTCCTTCGATCAAACAAGGGCAGACATCATCTAGCTATTAGGCATTCTCAACGAGGCAGCAAATCCTCCCCCGTCAGCAACGTCCCGTTCTCGATTCGCCGTCCGGGTGCGCCCGCGCCACAATGCCGTACGGCGGGCATGTACCGG